ATATAGTATATTTAATATATATAAAATATTTAAACTTAAAATATAGTTACATATATATATATATATATATATATATATATATATATATATATATATATATATATATATATATATATATATATATATATATATATATATACTGTAATATGAATATTATAGTATACATCATGCATGGAATGTATTGTCAATGCACATGATATATGAGGAATAAAATGTTTGGAGATTTTCGATAACAAAAATTATTCACAGTGAAACATACGTAATTAAGAATTATTGAAAAAGTTTTGATTTAAAAGCGAAAGAAATAACCAATTGATAAATTTCACTTTTTCAAACTTATTTTTAATATGCTCTTAACGTTTTGACTTTAGTGCTTTACACGAAAAGATTAGTGCGAAAAATAATTAAATAAGTAATTATGTTTATCGTTTCCGTTTCTCTTTTCTATAATTTCTACTCGACAGGCGTGCTTCACCATTTATAACCGTGCACCGTTATAAATTATAATGATAATCTTAAAGTGCCTATGACACGAAATTTCACCCCAAATGTTTATGATTGCATTGTAAAGATCACTTAAAATGACTTAATAATTTCTTTTATAGAATTTTGGTAACTTGCTTCCTTTGCAAGATATTCAACTTTGTTTCATATACAAATATCACCGGTGTGACATCACATCGCATAATGACATTTTGAAAACGCAATATTTTACCTTCACAAAATATTTTTACAAACAAATACAGAGGGTTAATTACCAGTTATGAAATTAATACATATACAAGGCAATTTTTAAGTTTTTTTGATACGTATTCGTCGAGAAAACTATACTTTTCTGAAAACTCATTATGCGATGTGATGTCACACCGGTGATATTTGCATATGGAACAAAGTTGAATATCTTGAAAAGGGAGCAAGTTACCAAAATTCTATAAAAGAAATTATTAAGTCATTTTAAGTGATCTTTACAATGCAACCATAAACATTTGGGGTGAAATTTCGTGTCATAGGCACTTTAAAGCGTCCATTTAAAGGCCCGTTTCCACTTGTAATTTCTGCTCCGATTTTATTGGAAGTGCAATTTCCTTCTGATGGATGTGAACGAGCGGATGAGTTATGGATGTTCAGATGTGGGTCTCCACTGCGCATCCAAATGACGCGTTCTGCGCAAGCGAACGTGTAGTAGAGACCATTCATTTCAATGGTTGAGACCGGAAGGTTATAATATGCATACAAGGGTATATAGCAGTTGAATCATTGTTTGCATTTCACTTGTAAAGCCACAATCAAAATGTCATTAAAGTTTTTTAAACATGCTGGCAAATAGCAACTGTTTGTATATTCATGTAGCATATTGAACATTTGATATGTATATTCTAATTCTACATGTTCAGCTTGGTCTCTTCATTTTTATTATGTATGTATATCATACATACACTTCATATCATACATACACACGATGATGGATATCATCATACAGACACATTGATAACCTGTACCTCATCCCCATTCTAACCCCTAACCAGAGGCGTCTAACCCCTCGCCCTGGTGGGGGCAACGAAAGACCCGTCTGCGTGCGATGTGGATGCGCAGTGGGGGGATTTCACTCGTTTCCGGTGTGGGTTAGTTATATAACCATTTAACACCTCTTCCGTTTTCGTACAATAGCGTCATGTCAGTTGCATGGAAACGAGTATACTGGCCGTTGAAACTCCGAGGGATTGCCATTAAACTTAATACGTTCGTAACTCGTCTGCTTGTTCACATGCTCAGAAGACGAAAATCGCCGCAAAAATGCAAGAGTCAGCGGGTCTTAAAATGTCGCGTCTTGTAATTCCGTAAAGTACACAGGTCGTGCGTTGTACTATCATTCTCCTTTGCTTCAATAGAAACTACGTTAATTGTTGCCTTGAATATCGACCAAGAAGTCAATGAACTTCAACGTTTGTTGTAGTAGAACAGGCAGTTAATGTTAATCATACGATTGTACAACAATTTTCAGTGGCTGTTTATCTCTTCTCACAACGGGTTGCCAGGGCAGTGCCTTCGTTATGTACATCACAATATGTCTGAGTACAGTAGGCACCTACAGTGCATAATCTGAACAAAACTAAAGTCTGGTTTTGCCTAGGTAAATTCTGAGTTTTGAAGGATTTGTAAGAAATGTTTAAGCAATATTGAGTCACTTCCCTCGAACATTTCTTACAAATCTTTCAAAAATTAGAATTGTCTATGCAAAATTCCCACTGTGATCTTAGAAATTTTGATAGTGTAATCCAGCTTAAATGATGGAGACTGTCAATACTGCTGTATCAGTATCAACTAAATATCTTTGGAAATGATTACTGATTAAGTTTTGTGTGACGTAATCTTTACCCAAATACTTTGGCTTAGGGACGGGCCATTAGAAAAGTGATGGGGGGGGGGGGGGTCCATTTCCAATCTGTACGATCATTTTTTCAAAAATTTTTGCTTGTGTCGCTAATTTTTTTTTTTACTAATCCCTTGCTCGAATTTTATTTTGGGGGAAAATTTTCAGGACATTAAAACGTTTTATTTTCCAAATTTGGGGGCCACCCTTACACAACTTATAATTTTCCCTCTTGAAAAGTCTCTGCACGAATTTTTTTTTTAACTTTTCGTGCTCGATTTTTTTTTCTGTTTCCCCTGCTCGATTTTTATTTTTGCTTTTGCCCCCCCCCCATCACTTTTCTAATGGTCCGCCCCTTATTTACAATCAATGGTCGACAAATACACTTGCTATTTGAGATTCATTTATCATGAAAGATCGAATCCCTTAAAATGATAAAACATTTCTTTTGGTTTACTGTAGCAAAGCTTTTCATCTGTCATGGCTGTCTTCATCAGTTATATAAGTTTGACTGTATAATGTCATTGATAAAATTTCTTTACAGATTATTTGAAGAGTTCGTTTTGGCCGTCGTCGTTGCGTTGCCGTCCTAAAATCGTAAGGTCTCTACCAACACCAGAGAGCTGCTGACTAAGAGGGATTCAAATTTGTGAAAAGTACAAGAAAAAGCCACCCCTCAAGCCGTAGCTTTCTGGTAATAATTTATACAGTATCCTCGGCGCTTTCATTTGAAATCGGTGCAACTGAAATACGTTGACGTGGTTTACCGCAGACAATCAACTTTGCAAACACCATCTTGTATTCTTGTCTGATCTTGGGACTGTAGATACCATATAGGCATGGGTTGACACAACTGTTAAGAAATGCGATGGTCACACATCCCAAGTTGATTGAACCATGTACACTGATAACACCATATTTCGTCAGCAAAAATGTGATTCGCCCGGGAAGCCAGCCGACAATAAGCGCAGAGCAAGCAGCCAGGGAAACTAACGTCACCCTTTTCAACTGGTTGTCTCGGTTGAATGTAAGGGCAGGGAGTTTCTTTAAGGTGTGATAGACATGACTATACAGCACCACCATGATAGTCATTGGTAAAGTCTGTAGGGTGAACATCATCCATGACAATTTTAAGTTACCCACTGTGAGAGGAACCCATTGGCATTCTTTCGTAGCCATGTCATATTTGAAACGGAAGATCGATCGTTGACACGTTAACTGCAGCGCCCAATAGCCATACAAAGATTACAGCTAAGATGGCATGTCGACATTTCGATGAGCGGTAGACTTGGGGTTTGACAACTGCCAGCCATCGCTCAATGGTTAGAACCAAGCAATTGTAGATGGAAATAAACCCAAGAGTAAACGGTAGCCAAGGAGGCCAGATTACTCTACAATACGCATCGGAGGCTACTTCACTGTATGCATCGGAGGAAGGTATAGGAAACGGCTGGAAATGTAAAGGACAAACTTTTGTTTTGTAATTGAGGAATGAAAAGCTTGCAGAGAAGGCGATGAAGGTTAGGGAGATATGGACACGTACCAAGAAGAGATGAAGGAGAGCTGGTCAGAGACATATTGTGGAATGAAGAGATCAGTAGATGTTAGCGTGGTTGATATTTAAGGGTACACACGTAAAAACGCACAAGTTGTAACAAGTCAGCAAACAAGTTGTTAACTTGTTACAAGTCTGTTCACAACCTGTCAACAAGTTGTGTTCGCACTGCTTGTTCCCAGTTTGTTGTAACAAGTTTGAAACAAGCTGTTAACAACTTGTAACAAGCTTGATGGCATTATCAGCCTTGTCACAAGACTGTGCTAACAAGTTTGTTACAGCCATGATATAACAAGGATGTTACAAGGTTGACGACACAAGGTTGTAACAATCTTGTTATATCAAGCATGTAACAGACTTGTCAGAACAACCTTGCAACAAGTCTGATAATTTCGACAAGGTTGTTACAAGTTGTCAACAAGTTGTTCCAAACCTGTTGACAACTTGTGACAAGCAGTGCGAATACATCTTGTCGACTGCTTGCTGGCAGACTTGTTACAAGATGTGAGATTTTTACGGGTGTAGGTGAAGAAAGCAAGGCTGAGATGGTGATGATACTTGATAAGATGAGATGAAGGAGAGCTGGTCAAAGGCATTATCGAATGAAGAGATCAGAAGAAGATGTGGGGTGGAGACATTGTAGAGAAGGTGAGGGAAGCAAGGCTGAGATGGTGATGATACTTGATAAGATGAGATGAAGGAGAGCTGGTCAGAGGCATTATCGAATGAAGAGATGAGATGTGAGGTGGTAGCAGCAGACAATAGTGGCAAAGTGTCCGCCACTGAATCAAAATTACCATGCATGATATAGAAACTGCTAAACAATAATGCAAATACTTACCTGAAGAACAGAGATATTGCCGTGAGGCAGTCGACGATAGCCAGGTTCAAAATGAAGATACTGTAAGGTTTCTTGAGTATGGACTTGTAACGATAGACGAGGACATATATAACAAGACCGTTCCCTACAAACGCGCTGATGGTGATCATGGAATAAATTACCTGGCTGTTTTCAAAAGCCACCGGCATTTTCAGAGATTGATCTGGCCTGCAAAACAAAACGAAAATCATATGAAATGTCATAACTGGAAGTCCGTACATGTCTATATGAGAAGTCACAGCCAACGGCATTTTCGGCATAGTAGCAGTGACCGCGTATATCACATACTAAACTAGATCAAAACGCTAAATTCTCTACATGGATGTTTTGAAAAAAAGTTTTAGAAAAAGGGCAACGCGGATGAAATGGAGCGATTGAAGATTTCAAGGAACTATGAGATGAGAAAAGACCACAGAAGATGTGTGGAATATTTGGAAAATTTAGGATTTGATTCAAGATCTAAGAAACCCATTGCCGTATTGGAATGCGAATGATATACCTAAAATTCAGGCTAAATTCTCTTTATACATACCCTGAGAACGTACAAGAAAATATTTCTTATTGAAAAAAAATATAGATTAATATACGTTTTTTCTTTTCCGTCCTTTCCGTCAACTTTTACGTTGGGTCCAACATCAACATCAACTCCAACAGTGACAAAGTAGCAAGAGACATGCAAGTTTTTCTTCCAATTAAAATTCACTTAGCACCTTTTCACGGCCATTTTTTGTCAGTTTTATTGGTGTAATGTGCCATACGATTGTGGCAATTATCCCATTTATAGCCTTTATACGATTTAGTGGATGAATATCGGGAGACAAGCAATTTTAATCGAGTCCTAGACTGAATTAATTTGATCCAATATTAGGGTTGGGTCGATATTACTTCACGGGTATTCAATATTATATCTTCATTGTGCAAAATAAAGCAATATGCAGGCTGGCCAATTTCCTTATCAATTGTTTAGTTATTATGATTAGGTTTACAATCTAGTAAACGCAACTCGATAGAGTTGTTCTACTACAAAGTTAATTGACGTGGATCTTTTTGCGTACAGTCTCGAAATATTTGCCCGGGTTTAGAAATGGCTGCCAGACGCCTGTAAAATTACGACTGCATGTCATTCTCATTGTTTTAAGAATTGGGGTCAATATATCTGACAAAATTTAAGCTGGTGACAAAACGGTTTTGTCACGTAATTATCTCGCATATACACCATTAATTAATGGCATTAAAAACGACACAAAGCTTTCAATATTGGTTCACTGGCAGGGGCGTAGGAAGCACCAAAAGGTTGGGGGGGGGGGCATATATTTTTCTGCTTTTCGAATAGCTATTAGCGGAACTTCTGCTGTTAACGCGTGTTTTCCTGAAACAATTTAATTGATTTTTAAACTCACGAGAAAATACTCAGAATGCTTTAGTTAAATATCATGGTTAAATATGTAAACATGTCGAGGTTGTTACACAACCATATTTTCAAACGTACTGTACCTTACTTAACAAGTAAATTTACTGTACTGTGCTACAGCAACTGTCCAGTCACGCATTAACTTTATAAACAAAAGATGTAAAACATATAAACAGAATTTCAGAAAGGTGAACATGTAAATTCGACCATATCTCCAGACTGCAGAGGAGAGTTGGTAAGGCTCCCCCTCATGCACTAAAGCCGGTTTTCCACTAGGCGGAATTTTACGCGCGGAGCGGAATTTTTCTTTGTCTTTTCTAATTAGTTCCACCCGAGAAATCACAAGACAAAGAAAAATTCCGCTCCGCGCGCAAAATTCCGCCTAGTGGAAAACCGGCTTTACGAGTGCATCTTCGGCGATCAATCTCAACACGGAGTACAGAATTAATTATAATAATTTGCATTGTTTTCAGAAAATTAATACACTCCTTTAGCTATTTCAAGGATTGTTTGTTTGGAGTTACAAATAACTACTTTTACCTACATTCGGCATTAATTATAAACAATATCAACATCCACTGATGATTTCTGTCGCTGCATCCAGCCTTGGTTTCTATATACTATAAAATATTTTCTCTCTTAAACCAATTTAAAGCAGAATTGCAACAAAAATTAACAGCGACAGTGGGTTTCTAAATTCTATTCCTAATTAAGTAGTCGTCCAATGTATCTTTGAACTCCATATAGGTGCTTTTAATGTTCCATTAGCTTGTCCACAGCTTTTGCAAGAACATAGTATTGTCTTTGACGATCACATTTAGATCATTGTCACATAATGTTAATATCGCAGTAGGCCAGTTCAATTTTCTCGTCGATTCAAAAATTCCCAGAAGGCAGAAAGATTCCTTGTTGGGCGTTCTGGGCACAGGTATGTCAATATCATAGCGGAGTAAGTTCCAAGTGATTTGACATCAAAATATTCACAATATTTTTTCCACTGTATTTACAAAAATGATTCGAAAATCTACAGAAGAAACACAATATTAGGTCATTCCCTAAAAGATCAAGATTCTGCCGTCCGGAGGGGGAGAAAATATGCCGTTTTCAATGCATGACTTCGGACAAAAATGAGAGTGCAAATTACACATCAGGATATATTTTAAATTGATTTTAAACGAGACATATTTTATAAAAAGAAACAAATAACCTATCAAATTTGTTTTTTTTTCTCTGTATCTCAAATGTTTCAGTGTGCTCTCTTGAAGTTTAAAATGTTTTTTGGCTAGTTTTCAATTGATTCTACGTACTTGCTACTGCTCTTGCGGTAGTTTGCCTTCTTTAATTTCTGTTCCATTCGGCGTTAATCTACTATCTACACTATGATCCTGATACCCTCCTTTGCTTTTCATTCTGTATGTCACATCATTCAACTAGAAATAAACCATGAATTCAAATTAGGCAATCGTGTCAAATCATGAAAATTTTCTGCAGAATGTATAATTTTCTGCTGGCTGAGGAACGAAAGAAGCAGAAAATGTTTTCTCACACATTGCTGGGGGCCGGCCCGATTAATATAATCGGGCAGTGCGGGTTGGGGAAGCACATTTTGTTGTTGCTTCCGCCATTGCTTGACCTGTTCCCACCCGCCCACCCTAGCATGTTTTTGGGGTGCTTTAACAGTTAATACATAGTTGTCTTTAAACCTGGTTCAGGAACTAGTGTTTCTAGGTCGATAATTTTGTTAGTTGTTTCTTGTAATCATATGTAATATTTTCGGCTGTGTTGGCTAATAAATGTCAAGCTTGCGGCGGTTGGCTGCAACAGCTCCCAGCTTTGTGTGAGAAGAAAAATTTTCACAAATTTTCTGTTGGAAAATTTTTTTGAAAATTTTCGACTTTTAACAATGATACTTTCGGGAAATATTCTGTCCGTGGAAATTTTTCTTGAGTGGCAATGGGCCTTTAGACTCTAGCCCTGGTCAAACGAGGATGAGAGTTGGAACGCTTGCTTCAGCCTAGCTCGTCAACTCTCATCGACTTTCAACTGGTTGATATTTTCATGAGAGTTGAGAGTTTTTGCACATGCACGGTAATATCCAGTGAACTCTCAGGCAACTCTTGCTCTTGTTTGACCGGGGCATGACAGTAGAGAAAACTCTCATGCAAACTCTTGTTTCTCAACTCTCATTGCCGTTTGACCAGGGCTTTGTATACATGTAGTAGCTCTATCATTCAATAGATAGCTTACCCATTAAGTTGCATTGCACCCTAATTTATTATTTTACTCTTTCTAATGCCAGACGATTTTAGAGCACTGGAGCTCAAAATACGATTTCTTTGGGATGAGCGAACATCGACGAATCTCTCAGAATAAAAGTGCCTTTTTGTGGGGTGCTGGCAGGATAATACCTCTTTAGCAGAGCTAAATGTCATCAACTGCATCTCGATGACAGGGATTTAATGCAAATCAGCACAAAGTTCAAGTGCAGAGAATAATCCCAATAATTCACATGAGAAATATTCTATGAATGTGTTATTAAACCCTGTGAGAACTCAGAAACCTTACTGGCTGCCGAACTTCTGAACAGTTTCACGTTTGAAATGGAAGATACTGAAGCAATATTTGCTGGTTGGCTCATCTCCAGGAAACATGGCTAGGAAACAATTGTACAACGGGGTTTTCTCTAAGGGTTTTAGAGACATATATGTCATCCAAATGTATTCCTTTATCCAAAACAACAAAATGAATATTTGCTATTCGATAGCATGTGACACTGTGCTTCAAACATAATATTTACAAATAGATTGCCCCAAGGAATTCAGATTATATTCAAAATTGCAAGGCATAATCATTATACACTATCAAATCCGGCATTATTCATGCATTTTGTGCTAATTTCTTAGACTAATATTGGCCCCAGACGGCGTTGAGATGGCCTATGTTTTTTATGCTTGACCGCTAAAACAACGCTATCTCGAAATGCGCAATTATTTCTTCATATTTTCATTCAAAAAGTGTAGCCCTAATAAACGCTAAAAACTATAAGTTCCAAGCGAAGACTTAACACTTAATTTTAACAAGAACCCCTGAGGGTAGAATTTCGACATATAAAAACAAACATAAGATAGCACTCGCTATAATTTCGGTGTTGTAAACAACAAGATACAGATATAGATAACCATTTATAAAGTACAATTTAAATCGTTTAAAATCGACGCGTATACTTACATCGACTGATACTTGTACTTCCCCTGAACCGATGTGGCCCGTGTGCTGTAAAAGAAGAGATTTTTGTCGTTTAAAGTTTGCGTAAACAAACACGAAATTCGACATTATATTAAATACATGTCTTGCAAATATTCACGAGTTGTTTATTAGACTTTGGCGGATCTAATTGGCGTCAAAACTAAACCACAGCACACCTGGAAATTCATCGGCTCCCCTATCATGCTTCTGTCAATCCTTGGCCGTCTCTAGAAAGACAAAACAATGATATTATAGAGGCTATATTCAACAAGAACCAACTTATAAATATCGGTCGCCATTGCCTACCGGTGGTGGCTGCTCCGCTATACAGCAGAAACATAGCCAACTTGGACTCATAACCATGACAAACTTGAACGATATATTAAAGTGTAATCCTTGTTTGTATAATGCGGAAAATCGTTGCCCTATGATAGCATATTATCTCAGGATTTCATCCCAAAATTTTCCTCCAGATCTATGCGAAGTATTGCGAGTATGAGAGGAGTGGTGCCAAAGAATGCGATACGGGAGGCGCTGCGACAATTTTTGCGCCGCCGCACACATTTTTACCAGAACATTTTGTCGCGTCTTCTTCATCAAGAATCCAGGAAAGATGGAACAAGAAAATTGATACATGGATTTCATTAATTGATACATGGATTTCATTAATTGATACTGTACATGGATTTCATTAATTGATACATGGACTTCATTAATTGATACATGGATTTCATTAATTGATACATGGATTTCATTAATTGATACATGGATTTCATTAATTGATACATGGATATGGATTCCATTACATTGATTTCATTAATTGATACTTTACAGATAAATATTTACATTATTGGTAAGTACTTGGTATAATTTGGATTGGAAAAGTAATTTTACTACAACAGTGTAAACTTCAATGGTACGCGCCAGAACGCTCCCCTTGACGAGTAAAATTGTAAATAGCGTTAGACAGAGTAGAATAATAAAGTAGGGCTGGACATGTGCAGATGTCTGGTTAAAATAATACAGTAGTTCAACTTAATGGCACTGCTCCACTCCCCCCCCCCCCCCCC